TGGAATTTATATTTTAAATTTTTGGTTTAAGTCACGAGATATGAAACAATGATCTTTCGAAATAAAACAGAAATGATTCAATGTTCAAATCGGTCAATAAATTTGCTTCTTAACTATTGATTCACAAGAAAAGTGTCATTGGGATATCGTCACAATAATTCGACGTATTAAAAAAAAGAACCATAATATATGTGATAAACGTCAGTAAAAAGAGAAATTGTCATCTAATTTAGTTCGACAAATAAAGGAAATTGACTGCCACCCTTTATATGTTTAATAGTTATTTGTAACAAGATTATGACACAATCACATTCATGGAGTTACTTTTATTTTTGATCCAAATGAGGCGTTTATTTATTTATAAAATAAACAATAAGTTAGAGAGAATCTGTTATTTATTGAATATTAAAAAAAAAAATGGCCTTATAATAGCTTTATTTTATAAAATTAGAATTGAAACTGAAAATTTGAAGATGCCAGGGATTTAGAAGATATTTTAATTGAGTTATATAAATATTTGATCTGAATTATAAGGTTAAACATATTTAACGAATTTTAACTAATATTAAAAATAGAATCCAATGGCATATTTTTTTTTATTAATTTGCATTTGTATGCCAATTTTTTCTTGAGAAGATTTTAATAATAAAAGAAACTGAAGTATTTATCATCATTAAAAAATCAACCAGTCATAATTTAAACATATGTGGCGCAAAATTTTCAAAAATAAAAAAGGAAATTTATTGCCCTCATCTATGTTTTCTGGTCATTTTTTGATCATTGTTTGTTTCTAAATAATATATAAATATAAAATTTACTTGGCCTTTACCAAAAGTATGATAGGTTTGCTATTAAAGTCGCGTTATGGATCATATTATTTTCCTATGTTCGTAACTTGATTTCAATAGCAAACTACCCATATGTTCTAAATAGGATATTTGGCGATACGAGTCCTCCTTGTATAAGAAGCCTTATTTCGAAAAATTTAAAGATTATTACATATTTTTATTTTTTATTATTTATCAAGATTGTCTAATCGCTCCTGAGGTTCGTCTAAACTCTATATTCGTATTTCATCTATAATCTTATATACGCTTACCTTATACTATCGAGAGGTAAATTAATATTATAAATATATAAATAATAAATTTAAGTTAAACTATCATAATTGGGGTATTGTCGACTTTCTAAAAGAATGCAATTCATGGAAAGGTTTTAGGTTAGGTTAGAAATTGAAAGATGTTAAGAAAGTTATTGCATTAAATTTCGTTACAAAAATCATCCATACCCCGATTAATAGAAGCTTGAAGTTCTTTTTTTTTGCAATATCAACTTTGGTGTTGTACCTGAGATGAATTCTGAGCCAATCATATATAACGCAAGTTGATGGTTCATATGTTCTTTAACGTATTTTTTATCCCAAGCATCATCGCTCTTAGTTCATTTATCGGTAGTGATTTTACAGTTGAGTTCATGAATACTGATGATAATCATAAAGATAAATTTATACTTAAATTGATTATGAATAAAGCAGCGGAATCCTCCAAGCGTTATATAATATACTCTTTCAATGTTGTGAAGTTCGACGATTTGCCAAAAGATCGAGATGTATTGCTTGAAGAAATTCCAGCCATAAGTATAGTGAAAGGTGAAATTGAAACAAATAGAGGGAGTAAAACAAAACAGAGGATTCGGCTGTAGTCAAAATTGAAGATTGGAAGGAACTGAAATCTCTAGGAGAAGGGAGTTAAATATAAAGTTTTTTGTTCTAAAAATAAAGTAATGAGATAAGAAAACTAAATCAACGGAAATGAGTATATTTGCCACTTTGGGAAACATATGGATTTATTCAAAGAAAAAAACCATTAGCCTATCATAAATGTACAATAATTCGATGTGCTTAAAAAGAACCATAATCTTGCTAAATATTTATATTTGTTTTCTTTGAAATACATTGAGTTACTATTTATTTTTCGCATTTAAATAAAGGTTGAAGCATCATATAAGAATTTATTTGACCCTGCATTTTCTCTTTAACCAAATAATAACCTTATTAACAACAGCAGAATTTTATTGTATAATGCAAACTTAATAAAGTAGTAAATATTTTCTTTGCATATCAGAATTTCAAGGACGTAATTGTATAATATCACAACATTATTCTTGTACATTAATTACATTGGGAATAATTTATACACCATTTCCATGTTTAACTAAATTATTATTATACAATTTCGTCTGTCATTTAAATTATTACTTAAATACTTATGAATCATCACCAAGAGAAGAAACAATATTCTTGCGCATGATAAGGTTTAATGATTAACTCCATAAGAAATTATATAGATTAACTAAAGAATTGGGAGGTTATCGATTCATGAACATAGTAAATAATATGATCTGTAACTTGATTTTAATAGCAAACCTCCCAATTATTATTGCTTTATCAATTTGGAAAGAAATAAAAATAGCTAATCTAATATTGGACATGAATCATTTTGAGTATCCATTATGTCCTTATAAAATATGTATATTCACGTAATATTCGAATGATTATTCATTTAAGGTAAAAGCATTAACTTTAAAAATCAATAAATTTCGTATAATAATAAAATTGCAATGTCTGATTTATGGATAAAATTGGAACCCAATATAACGTTTAAAATAGAACCTTGGTATTTAATATTTTTATCCAGAAGGAATTTTATTCACGTGGGCAGCGCGAATGATTTAAAATAAATAAATCGATGACATGTGACCAATTTTAATCATTTTCCTAAACGGATTATAAATAAAGAAGTGGTTCTCCACACCCGAGAACTTTATTCCTAAGGATTGTTAAAACGTTAAAATTCACTGAAAATAATGCACATCTACTTTCTACTACAACTTCTGAACTTTATTATACATTTTTAATGTGTAGACTATGGTTGAAATAACCGTAAACTTATGCGAATGCAAACATATACTTAAACAAGAACTTTTAAGATGTTCTGGATTAATCAAAGGTAAAAAATAATCAATTATTTATGAGAAGAAAAACACTCAAAAAAATCCGAAAAAATGAGATAGACTGTAAATAGAGCATATAGGTCAGCCACGTTTTGAATAAAAAAGTACACGTCAAAGCTTCCTAGGAGGTTACACCATCTACTATTTGAAGGTTATTATTAATCATTATTCGTCTACCTTTGCCAATAAATTAATACCAATTATTTATAGAATCATACAAATCTGTAACATCAAATGAACGAAATATTGGAATCTTGGATATTTCCGATTATACTGATTATACTGATCATCGAATAATTTTATAAAGGAAAGTTAACAGCTTCCAATTAGTCATAGGAAGTCTTTGTGGATTTTTATGTAAATTAATTAGACCATATGCCGCATTTAACGTGCTTTTTTGATATTATCATTAATCATAGATATGCTTCATTTTGGTGGGATCATTTTTCATTTTTTATTGCATTGAAAATAAATGCAAAAATCAATTTTTATGCACTAATTTTTTTTTTTTTTATAGAAAAATTGCCCATATGGAAATTTTACTTGCAACGAAATTGCAACCAAAATTATTACTCAATGACGAGTTCAAACAATATATTGGATTATTAAAATAAAAGAAGAGAGGAAGCGTAGTCTCTAAAACAGCCAAAATTTAATAATCTATTCATTAAAATGTAAAAAGATTAGAAAAATCATGTCATGTTTACGAGCAAGTAGGGACTGAAATAGATCAATTTGTCTCCGTAATTCTTTAACTTTAACGTGTTCGAATTTTGACTGACTTTTAGTTAATCTGGAAAATTAAACAAATGTTTGATTATTAGAATTCTTTGGCAGATTTTCACATTTGGTAGATTCATTTTCTTAATAGTTTCTTACATCAAAGATTTTTTTTTTGCACCTGCTGACCGAGATGTTTCAGTTATATATTTTTTAAACCTTTTTTTTTTAATATATTCAGAACGCAATAGCTATTAATTTTCTGTGTCAGAGTTTGAAGTATATAATTGTAGATTTATTCGTGATAACTAATTACCAATACATAAGAAAATGTATAATAAAAGGTACTAGATTGATGTAATTACATATGACATGTCATTGTACCGTCATCATTATATATATAACGCTGCATTTTAAAAAGTTTTCTTACCTCTTTCTCTCTTTCTCTCTAAGGTTTTTTTTAATTTTTATTTAAAGTTATCGCACCATCATGTTATATTGTCTAGTTCTAGGTGAACATCCTGAAGAAGCGTTCGAAGTTGAGGATAATAAATGAAACTTGAGGATGTTTATCTGGGAAAATATTCCAGAAATCGCGCCTGCAAGAAACTGAAGTTGTGGCAAGTTGATATCTTTGTCGAAGCTTATGAAAAAATGAAAAACTGAAAGTACTCCTCGACACGCCGCTTCGCGAAATTAACATTATAAATCAACTCGGGGTAATAGGCTAATTAATACTAATAAACTTAAAGATTACTTTCCTGATCCTGCTCTCGATAGACATATCCGAATCATTATTAAAACACCACCCGATGTTACTCCAAATTTTACCTTCTAAACTGGAAATTTTAAGTAAAATATACTGATCTCATATTTTTATGTCGCGTCTTTCAAGGCATTACACAACGTATATATCTGCAGTTAAATAAATAGTTTGAGCATTGGCTTTAGTTCTATATCCTATCCTAACTTACTGCTATTGATATATAAATAGAAGTGGTTGATTGAAATGATGTTAATTCAATTTATAACTGGATAAAATCTTTGAAGCGTCCTGATGACATTAAGATACCCAAGGTATTTTTTATATCAAAACTCTTGTCCTGTTTTCTTTTTTGATCAGTTAGTGAGTACAACAGGTACTAACTTTCCTTTCCAAGGTTGTGATGAGGCAATAAAAATATTATTGACAGGAAATGAAGTGAAGAATGGAATTTATCAAAATTTAAGGAACGCAGTGGAAAGGACCGAAACAATCATCTTATCTAATGGACCACGAACAGAGCAAGAGCCGATTCCTCCAAGAATTACCAACTTTACTACGCAATCAAGCTCATAAATATTTGGACGATGATGAACTTCTAAATATAATAAAAGATCATATGTTTGTCATCACTGTTACCTTTGGCAATGGCTCTGGTGTATCCATTGGTCAAACATCAATTACACTTCGAATACTTTATTTCTGGAACTTAGAATATGAAGATTTTATGAGCATTTTTAGAGAAAAAAGCGCTCAAAATTACAGATGCACTTAATATTGTTATCAAATATGTTAACAGCGATAGGATGTAGGAAGTTTTATAAAATTTTTCGTCCTTGGTGTTGACGAATAAATGTTTTGTACGATTTTATTAAGAATTTAGATCCTAAAATAAATACAATCGATTGCACGTGCTGTATAGGACGACTAATTGCTCGATTGGAAATATATTTTATATACCGATCTTGGCTGAAACAATTCAAGGTCCTCTAGAAGAAATGTTTAAATTTTTGACGTATCGATTTCAACCGCTACCACTTCGCCTTCTTCGAGATGAGAAGGCGTGGAAGGTTAGCGAATTTGTTGCTTCTTCTGAATATCATCTGGCGAAATAAATAAACGGGAGACAGCAAAAACGGTACTTTTCATCTCTGTATCAGGGCAAGTTCAGTCTCTGGAATTATTCTAAGCATTATCAAAGCAAATAAATAGCAGGGTTAGGTGGATTAAAAAAAATAAATTCATATGTCAGGAGTGAATTTAAATATCTATATCCGTTTAAGGAATTTGCTACTACCATAACACAAACAATTGCGCGTGCTATCATTAACATTCCTGTGGAAAAAAGGATGATGGAGGTGGAAATTTAACTTATGTCGATCTTTCATCAAAGAGCATTCTAAACTTGGAATCGACATCAGATGACCTTTTTTATGTTCGCATGCCATATATATGGGTGTTATTAACTTCAATTCATTTGAATCTTGGAAAGTAATGGATAAAAATGTATTAATACAAGATCTCTTCCGTGATGCATATGATCTTGAAAGCTTTTCATTTTTTAGATAAAGAAAATCAAAAGATTAGAGGTTGGGGATTGGTTAATATTTAACCGGTTAAATAACCGGTTAACGAATATTTTAACCGGCTATTAAAGAATTTTTGGCTGGTTCCATCCTCCACAGATTTCAGCTTCCTGATGCATATTCTATAAAATATCATGAAATGAACTTAAAGACCAATAACCTTTTACAACTCAACAAGAACATTGCCACCTGTCACTGTGTTTAAGAACTTGTCAGGTGCTCCTTGGGATGTTTTCTTTTTTCTGAATAATTGTCTTTTTGCAATTCACATGTCTTAACAACCTCAAAATTAAACAAGGATATGATAAATAAAGATTGCACTAAACTGAAGCAGCATTTAAAACATTAAAAGAAAAAATTTCCTGGTATTAAGACTTGGATTCTTCTCATATGTATAAATGGAGATAAGACGGAAAATGCTTTAGATAAATTAACAGAAAACTGTCTTGCAGTATATAGTGAGAAATTCAAGGATTTCTTCAGTCGTGCTGAATTTTCTGCAGGTAGGAGTTGAGTGTGTTTAAAGATATCTTTGTAATTTATGTAACATTTTATTCTTGTTTTCACATAGCTAATTATAAATTGGATGGAACACTGCTGAGGAACACGAATTAAGACATCTATATAATCGAGTTAAAATAGATAAAAAAGCAAAAAAAAGTATTAAGATTATAAAAATGATATAATTAGTAGTACAAAAAATTTAATAATCGATTATTTACTTTGCTTACGTTAGCATTATTATAAAAATAAATATCCTCGATTAATTCCAAATTTGCTCTCTTTTAGACTAGATTTATTTTAAAATCCGTCATATTTGATAAATTTGATTGAAAAGATTTTTACTAAAACTTGAACGTTGAAAATTTGAAACTGATGAGCGTCCAAATATACGCAAGGTTTCAACTCGTAAAAGAAGAAAATGATTTACCGAGAAAAAGATGAGGAATTAGAATTACCTGGAGATATTAAGTTTTTATAATATATTAATGAAAGTAATTCTAATTGAATAAATTAGAATTCGTTTGAAAAATAAAATTATTATTATTATATTATAGATCAGTGAAGTTTCATCAAAATTGTTCCTCTTTTGCCATAGTTAAGCATTCATCATAAATAACATCTTTAAACGGTTGGCATCCACTTAAATTTGCGAAATCAAAACTCCAATACTATATACATCTGATTTTTTTGTTTAAATATTAATCCTTTATTTTATTTCAATATAAAATGTCGATAAAACCAATCAACTATTAAAATCGAGTCACAAGACAATAAATCATATGATCGGTAACTTGATTTTATTTTAATAGGAACAATATGAAAGTGAAATAAATACCAACAACTTGAATTTCAATTCTAAACTTGAGCCTAATAATTTAATTCTTTCCATACCATCATTCATCTTTTCTTGTATATCAAGCGGTATACATAAGCTCAATAAATATACCCAAACATATTTTAATATAAACATTATATCGGTCCGTATTCCTACTCCACTTCTATTCGTCAGTTTAGACATTCTATTAGACCACGAGTAGGAGATATTAATTCTATTATAATTGGATTTCCATAAAATATCTCGCGAGTTGTCAGGATACTATTGACGTGTGACAATTTCATGATAGACTTTTCTTTGTGCAAATATGAACCATACCATACAGAAGTTCTCTTATTAAACTTCCACCATACATCATATAATATTTTTTTTAAAATAAAAGATAAAGAAATCTTCTGTTCTAAACTGATTGAAAATAACTTGTCAGAGCTTTGTTCGTTACTTAATTCTTTGAGAGATTTGATAGTTGCTAAATTGTCTGAAAGCAGTCAGAATACTAGCGATGATTCAAGCTAGTAAAGAGTACTTAAGATGTATTAATAATGTTAATGGCAGTTCGAAGATATTGTTTTATATAGGAATGTTAAGCGGTCCTAAGCGGTAAAGTCCCAATAAAATTACAAAAAATTATATTTACATGTCTATTATAATGTTTTAATGAGCTACTAAATGAAAAATATATAATAAACCCTCTTGGAATCCCAGAATATCTTAAAATTTAAAATTTAAGGACTTAGGACCGGGTCCCAAGGAACGGTCTTATACTTGGCGGCCCCATCAAAATTGCCAATTTTGAATATCATTTTCGCTTTTTACAAATTAATTATAAAAATTTTATGCCAATTTTTTGATGAGGGTTACATTATAGATAAGTGATTAGACTTCTCTAGAGTTAGTAATCTCTTAAATTGTAAGGACCGGTTAAGGACCGCTTAACATTCCTAGTTTTATATTTCAGTTCAGATAAACAGAGCTCGCTAGTTTTTACTCACTCTGAGATGCTACCAAAATCTTAATAAATAAACTTCTCCAAACAATATGAGTTGTTTTGCCGACGAACAGATAATGAGCTTATTATATTAATGTGCAATATATATAGTTGCCTGGCAAAACTCTCGGGTTTCGACGGATTCATTGGCAAAACTGTAATAAAATCTTATTGGCAAACTGTTGAAACTCGAAACCATAATAAAATCCTGTCAAAAGTCAAAACTATATTATATACTTATTAACAAATTCGTCGAAATATAGGGTTTCGGCTTTGCCTTTTGCTAAAATGAGTTTTGCCAGGCAACTATAGCAATAGATCGGTCATGATAATTGTTTACACTTATACTTATCATGTGGCCTTCGGCGACCTATCATTCAAATAAGAACCCGTAACCACAAAACAAGAGAAAAAATGTGTTACTTCAAATATCGAACGATACACTTCTAAATAGTTATAAGGCGTTAATCATTTAAAGGAAATTGTCTCAATGATTTTTTGTTCATAGGGCTCATGAAAAATTTTGTAGAATATTGTTGCAATGTGGAATTCGTTTCATCACATGAATTTAATTTAAAAGAAAATGATGCAATTTTTAAATTTACAAATGTATAGGTTTATCTAGACCACGAAAACGTTATGTCAACAAAGGAATTGAAATGTTTAACCCGTTACTTAGCTGTTATAAAACGAGTTTTAAGTATTTATCAAATGTATCTTTTAATTAAAGTCAATCTTAATGATAAAAACGTTTCCGGTAGAAATTAATGCCAGAGGAAATTAAATGATCGTCAAAAATAATATAAATTTTACCCGTTCATGCCTTAGAAATTTTATAAATGTTGCATGATTTACCAAGTGCATTTTTTTTTTCATAATTTCGCTTGATAACTATCCAATTAAAAAAATAAAATGCAAACTTCCAATAATTCAAATGAGTGGTATATTTCAAGAAATGATATCAAATACTACGAACACAGACATTTTAGCAATTTTGAAGAGATTGGTGAAGGCAAGCTTTGGACAAGTTTACCGTGCAAATTGGAAAAGTTCAAAGAAATACCTTGCATTAAAATTATTACATTACTTTAACAATGCCACTGTTAAAGAACTTGTTCGTGAGGTGATTACAAATGCAATACGTATTGTATTTCACTTCATTCTATTTATAAAATCTTTATTTATCAAAATAAAATTTATAATTTAGCTTGAATTTCAACGGGAAGTTGATTTTCATTGTAATATCATTCGCTTTTTGGGGATTACAGCATCAAACCAAGGTATAACATCTTAAATCTTAAATATAATAATAAAAGAATACGTATTTCCTTTTACATTTGAAATTTTTATCTCATTTATATACTTTTAAAAACTAAAAAAAAAAATTAGAAAACCAATTGAAAAAATATTGGTTAGTAATGGAATATGCAGATGACGGTGCACTTAAAAAATATTTGAAGGACAACTTTGATAAACTTTCTTGGGGAGACAAATACAACTTGGCATTCCAGTTAGCTAGTGCTGTATCGTGTTTACATGACGAAGGAATTGTACATCGTGATCTGGTACCTTACAAAATTTATACCTTATTTTGTTATAATATTACCGTAAAAACATTTAATATTTGATTTTATATTTACATGTAATAGCATTCCGGCAATATATTTATTCATCAAGGTGCAATTAAACTAGCAGACTTTGGTCTATCGAAAAGAATCGACGAAGCGACTAATCAGTCAAAAGTTTTTGGTATTATTCCTTATATTGATCCTAAAAGATTTGGTGGACGGAGAAAAAATGAAAATACATCACAAAAATATACGTTAAATGAAAAAAATGACGTTTACAGTGTTGGCGTTCTATTATGGGAGATATCGAGTGGTCGTCCTCCTTTTTATGTTGAAGGCGAGCCATACGACATTGATTTAGCTATAGAAATTTTACAAGGACTCAGAGAAAGTGTCATTCCTGGTACGCCTGAAGATTATGTAAACATTTATATTGGTAAATATTTTTACTAAATTTAAATTCAAATATAATGATTTTCGATCACTAAATTATTTATATGATTTGTAGAGTGCTGGGACAATGAGCCGGATAATCGTCCAGTTATGAATAAGGTAGTAAATGAATTAAACGCAATTATTACAAACAAAAAATATAATAAAACCTGATCAAATTAATAAAGAAGAATCAAACCTT